CCTGGGCGGCAGCTTCTGTTAATGGTTTTTATCTGGACCCTGGGGGGGGGCGGAGGCTCTTACCTGCTGGCTTCAGGTGATTGTGCAGACGGGCTTCTCCTTCCCAGGTTGCGACAGCCAGCGGGAGCAGCTGGGGGCCTTCGGAGGTGCTTCTCCCCACCAGGCCGTTTGGTGGGGAGACACCTGAAGGCAGGTGTGCGCACCTGGCACCCCTGCCCCTGCATCAGAGCCCTGAGGTGGCCCCAAGCTGATTCCCCTTCAACACGGGCAAGAACCGGCTTTCCTCCTGCACCCCTGTGGGGGTGGGGGTGCTAAGCAGGGGTCCCAGGAAACCCACGGAAGGGAGAGGCAGTGTCTTGTAACCACTTATTCACAGATGTGAGCAGCTGGTTTAAAAAAGCCAGCAGACTGAGCCCTGACTGGTGTGGCTCAGTAGATTGAGTGCTGACCGGCAAATTAAAGGATCACTGGTTCGATTCCCAGTCAGGATGCGGGCTTGGGTTACAGGCCGGGTCCCCAGTAGGGGGCGCGTGAGAGGCAACCACACATTGCTGTTTCTCTCCCTCTCTTTCTCCCTCCCTTCCCCTCTCTAAAAATAAATAAAATCTTTAAAAAAAAAAAAAAGCTGGCAGGTGGCTGGGTGGGCCCGGTGGCTATTTCCACTGCATTATTCACCTGACCTTCCGGCAGTTTCCGCTTTGGCCACTCATGCATCATTTCTTTCTTAAACACTCATTTTCAGCAATCTGGACAGCAAGTCCCGCAAGTCCCAGTCAGTGAATAAATTGCCCAAAGCTCGGTCCCGTTTCCACGCAGCTAAAGAAAAAGACTGAATTGCACAGTGTTTCCAGCATGCAAACCCCCACTGAGACTGGCCTTTAAAAAATATCTGTAGAACCCGCTTTATCTCCAACAAAGCGGTTGGGGGAGGTGTGCCTGGGGGAGGATGAAGGTGCGGCTGTGGCCACTAGGGGGCGCCGGCACTGTTCAGGGAAAAGCCCAAACACGTAGTGGAAAGGGGGCGCTGGGCAGGCATTTCACTGTAAATTGGGCGCTGGCGGGGAGGTGCAGGGTTGGCGGGAATAGAAATAGATTCCTGGACCCGAGCTCCCTTCTCCTCACATACAGCCATGACTTGTGCCAGAAAGCCCCAACCCGGGGAACCCCTGATGGTCCGGGGGATGTTTCAGGGCCAAGTTCAGGCCCCTGTCTGATGTGGGAAGTGGTTTTTGCACAGGGCACCCAGCCGGGGTTCCTCGTTGGGGCAGGAGGAAGGCTCCGCCAGTGCATTCCCTGGGAGGGGTTTCAGGCCCCCTGGGCAGGGGCAGGGGATTTGGCTGCCTCACCTGGGTGAGCCCCCCCGCAGGGGGGAGGGTGGCTCCGCCCCAGGCCTTTCCTGTTTTGTTTGTTTTGCTTTCAGCCCTGGGCCTCAGGGTCAGTGGCAGATTAACTGCTTTCAGTGTGGAAAATCTGCCTGGTGAGTGATTTGAACCTGAAACGACTGCAGTTACACAAACAGAAGCAGGCTCTTCCTTGTTGACAGAGCGGTGCTGGGCTTCACGGCCCACGTGATTTGCAGGTGGCACCTTCCCACTGTCTCCCAAGATCCAGAGTGACACGTCAGCTCTTCTCCTGCCAGGGACACAGACTGGGCCGTGTGGGAATGTTCCAAATGACAGAAATCTACAACAATAGATTCTGGAGCAAAAATTTTTTTTTTAAGATTTTATTTTTAGAGCGGGGAATGGGGGAGAAACATCAGTATGTGGTTGACTCCTGTGCGCCCCCTACTGGGGACCTGGCTGCCTGAAACCTAGGCATATGTCCTGACTGGGAATCAAACCTGCGACCCTTTGGCTTGCAGGCTGGCACTCAGTCAGTCCACTGAGCCACAGCAGCCAGGGCTCCAGAGCAAATCTTGACTGTCCTGCTCAGCCATCCATAATATGGCACAGATGTCCCACCTCAGGGCACCGGGGATAATTTGTGTTAGATTTCAATACCCTTGAGCAGGACAAGAAAGGAGGGTGGGCCCTGACTGGGGCTAGGGCTTCCACGTACCTTCTTTGGGGGGGGCACAATGTAGCCCGTGGCACCACAGGTGTGGGACAGTGAACCCCAGAGAAACAGCTGCAGGTGGAAGTGGCCTTTGGGGTACAAACCCCAGGCAACCCTACTTGGGGACAGGAAGCCTTTTCCCTGCTTCTCATGGACGGCCCAGGTCCCCCACGTGGAAATTATCGGACTGCTCTTCACTGACAGCGGGGTGCCAAGTTCAGGTGCTGGCTTTCAAACCAGAGGCTGTTTGTAGTTAATTGGTTTCATAATGCCTGACACCTGTCTGTTTGACTGCCTTCCTTTGAATACCTACCGTATGTTACCATGTATAACACGCACTTTTTTTTGCCCAGATTTTTGACGGGGGAATAAGGATATGTGTTATGCGTGGGTATAATGATTATAAACCCTGGGTATAATGGTGGGTATAGTAATCCTGTGCATATATGCATGAAAACGTGAGTGCACATTATACATGACAAAATACGGTATTGTGGACAGGGACTGGGGTTCCTGAGAGGAACAGAAACCAGTGCTGTGTCTCCCCAGTGGCTTTGGTCCCTGCCACCAGGGCAGGAGTAAGTGGGCACCTGGGCACACGGGGTCTTCCGTAACAACTGTACAATTACGAACACCAATCCATATACACATCTCGGGAAATGCAACGATTTTTTTGGTGAGACACCTTCAGACAGGGCTTTACTGTGGCTGCCCGATTTGGAGCAGGTTGGTCCTGCGCAGGCCTGTGGCTTGGCTGCCGCTCCCTGGCTGTCAGGGCCAGGCATTGGGGGAGCTGTTAGCAAGCAGCACATGCTGATGTGGGGGGTCCCCCCGTGTCCCTCTCCTCCCCTTGGAATCGGTCTTGGCCCAAGCCGCTCCCAACCACCCAGCCTCAGTGGGTCTTTTCGACAGACATGGCTGACGTGAAATCGGGGGCAAGGGCAGTGGTCAGAGACCCCTGGGCGTGAGGGATTCAGGTGGTCTGAAAGCAGTCAGAGGCATGTGTCGGGGCTCAGAGGATGCAGTAGCTCGCCTCAAAAAAAATGACCGCTTGGGCGGAAAGGTGCCCCTGAGGTCGGGCACTCATGGCGTCTGCAGATCTGGCAGCCAGCACGGCCCAGGGCTGATCCCTGTGGCCCAGCCTGCCGTGGGCAGCAGAGGGAGGCACCAGCGTGCTGGACGGGGTCTGCGCATGGCTGTGAGCCCACAGCTGGGGAGATCACCCAGGTGTTGACCAGATCCCTCGAGAGAGACTGTGCAGGGGACATTGGTCATGCAGGCCCTGACTCTCGTCCTGGGCAGCCATGACCTCGGGATGCACACCAAGGTCATGGGGAACCCGGTCTGCACTGGCACGGCCGCTGTACCCAGAGGACCCCCACCCCGAGCTCTGCTGGGATCTGTTTCCTGGGACCCTACAACCCCCCGGGGCCCGTGTGCCTCAGGTCACGACTGCATATCAGGGGCTCCCGTGGGGGTCTTTCCACATGTCTCAGCACTGAGACAAAGGGAACATCTGTAACTTGGAGGGGGGGGCATGGGCACCAGGTGGCTTGGTTACATCTCATTCAAGTCTTCTGCCTGCCAGAAACGTTGCCCAGGTAAGACTGCAGGTGACTTTGAAAACTGGCTAAATCCACACCCCGCCCTGTGTCCCTCCCGAGTTCCTGCTTCTGGGGCCTTTGTGCGTGAAGAGACGAGGGACCGGTTCGTGGACTGCGTGCCTTACCTGTGGTGGAGTGGGATCAATCGCTTGTCCGGGGACCCGAAAAACCCCCCAGCACGGCCCCACTCCCTGACTTCGCCCTCAGATGCGGATGTGGGCTGGTGCCGAGGGGCACGGCTAGGTCAGCTGCACACACCTCGGGTTAATCTTCTGGTGCCCGGAACCCGGGCCGCGTCCGCCACCTTCCCTGCCAGGTGGTCTGCGAGTTTTGGGTCAAATGTGGGAGGAGCCTGTGGTTGTGAAGTGTGTTGGGTTGAGTATAGAATAAGGTGAACTCTTCTCTCTGCTGTCATTGAAATGAATTTCGAAACTCAACATGCATTTTACAAAACCCGTGAAACGCAGCGGGGCGTCGGGGCGGCCCACGGCTTTTTTTCCTTTTCCGTTCCGAGGGGCCACGAGGCCCCTTTCTGGGAAGTGGCTCCCTGAGCAGGGTTGACAGAACAGTGCGTCCCAGCTCTGTATGGGCGGAGTCCCACCCGCTGCTTCGCCTGCCACGCCCCCCTGTCCTTTTCTCTGAAGCAGCTTCCTGGGGCCCCGGCCCCAGCGGCAGGTCCCAGGCCCCCGGAGGGTGGTTCTGTAGTGCTTCCTGGAGCAACCCCAGCGGAGCCCAGTTCCGGAGGTCAGGGCAGATCTGTGACAAAAATCCCTGCACCGCAGTGCTGTGCTCTGGGTCCTGCAGCTGGGCTGCTGGGGGCAGTGAACTACGCCCAGTCGTTGCCGCTCACGTGTGTTTATACCAGCAAGGCGAGTGGGTCCGAGCCCTGGAGTGAGGGCCGCTGACACCAATTTGGACCCAGCAGAGTGGGCATTCCCAGGCCTGATTCAGAAAGCAAGGAGATGCCAGATGGCAGAGATGACGCCTCCGGCCACCTGGGGCGCCCCGTGAGCATGCCGAATGGGCCGGCGGTGGCCTGTTCTGGTGCTCAGCCCCTCTCCTGGGCTCCGGAGACTGTCCCCCCCAGACACCCATCTGGACGACAGGGAAGGGGCCTCTCGTTCCAAGAGAGAGGACAGCATGCTGGGCAAGGACAGTCGGTGGGCAGGGACAGGAGGGAGGTGAAACTGTGGCCATGATGACACTTTCTCCGCTGCCGGGACGCAATACCCAGGATGTCCAGAATGCAATATCCGCTTGTGGTGTTTTCCCAAGAGGTCCCATGGGAGCTGAAGTTTGAAGAGCTATCAAATATTTCCATTCCAAACGCAAACACACTTCTGCCATTCAAAGATGACCTTTAATAGAAATTAAAAAAAAATGCAAAAAGAACACAACTCGGAAAACCTAGAAAGAATGGGAAGCTCTCTGGCCGCTCCATCGGGGGTAGTGCAAACTCTTTACACCGTTTTACACTTTCACACTCACATCGCTTTGGTTCACACACACCTGCACAGTATTGGCAAAGAAAGTGTTCAGATCCAGGTTTTTTTGGCTACATTATTTCTAACGGATACAGATTTACTTCCCGTTGAAGACAAAAACAATAAAAAAAATTTGTTCTTTATGCAGCAAGCGTAATTAGAGACCCCGTGTATTCAGCTCATAAATTCTGTTTTCCATAAAATGCCGACACCACCGCTGAAAAATCTGTTTTAATCACGGGCTTTTAAAAAATGTGTAAAGGGGTCATTGCCAAATTCGGAACCACCCCCTTTTCCTTGCAACAAAATCCCCCTAAAAACAACTTGGCCAGGGTAATGTACCATCTACGGAAGAGATTCGCCCAAAACCACGAAACCCCCACTGCAGGGAGTGAGTGTCCTGGGAGCCACGCGCCACCCACGACGGCTGGAAGGCCCGCCCAGCCCAGTCGGCCAGGCTGCCTCCTCCGTCCTCTGGGGGTCTTTTCATCAAGCTGCCTTCACAGAATTTAAACCAAAAACACTGAAGTTTCAAAATACAGAAAAGGACAACTTTGTAAGTAAAAAGGACATTTTTACTAAAACCCACGAAATGAGTATTCCAAAGGGCCAGGGCTCAGTGGAGGGCACAATGAAGGAACTTCCCACCTGAAAGAAATTATTGCTGAATTCTGCCTCCATGCAGGGCTGAAATGGATGGATGGGGAACCCCCTCTCTAACATCTCACACGTTAAAAAAAAATAAATACATAGGAGAATACAAGGCTCAGATTGGTTTTCGTACACATTGCACTTGAAGTTAACGACCCAGCACTTGCAGATAGGGTCTGATGTGGCCTGCGCCGCCCTGCGTTCACCCACAGCTGGGTGCACCAGTGGCTTCGTGCCGCTGCAGCGCCGCGGGTGGAGCGCAGGGGCGAGGCAATCATGGATTGCGAATCCCGTAGGGCTGCGGGAGGACGCTGTCACCTGGATGCCGGAGTACTGACACGCTGGCTCGGAGGACTGAAGCGCAGGGCAGACCGGACTCTATCCCCGCATGGAGCTGTCCTGTGCTCTGGGATTGTCTGTGCCAAGCGCCGCACGGGGCGCAGCCAGCTCCAGGACACACACGCATGTGCGGCTGCGAGAGTTTGCCCCACTGCTCCATGTAGTTTTACACAACCCAATTTTTAAAAACCTTTTGGATGAGTATCCTTTCTAATCACACTAGCCTTGGCTAAGCGCCTTCAAGCTCCTCCCTCCCGTGGGCGTGGCCCCAAACCCAGAGCTGGGACCGGTGCTTTCAGTTCAAGGCTTAGGATATATGGCAACTTGCATTTTGCGACAAAAATGGCATCGAACACTCGGAAACTGCCACCGCCACCCGCCTGCCCCGGGCGGAGACCCAGGGTCCGCGGGGCAGACGCTGGCGCGACAGTGTTTCCAGGCGGGCGGGGCTGCGCCCACCCGCTGGTGTGCGGGGCTGTCCCCGGAGCGCGTGTCTGCCAGGCCCATCAAAGCAGATCATGGAGGAGCGAGGTCTCCGTGGCAGTCTGGAGCTCGGGGTTCTGTCCCACATCTTGCTGTCCCTTCAGAAGCAGCGGGCGCAAGACTCAGTCACTGTGTGGCTTTTCAGGGACACCCTACAAAGCAGAGAAAAGGGGCACGAGAAATGAGCTCAGTGCGTACATACCAACCCGCCACCAGGTGGGCCCTGGACAGGGTGAAGTGCAGAAGTCAGTCCCCCAACCCAGGTGAGGTGATGGGGACAGGAGACGGAGAGGGGAGCAGCAGACGGCCCTGAAGGCACGGAGCCACGTCCGCTTCTCCCGTGAGCGCGAGGGGCCAGCCAGAGTGATGCGTCCCGTTCCTGAGACACAAACCAATTCCCTGGGTTTTACGTGAGTTTTTTGATTTTGATCAGAGCAAGCCTGTCTTCACAGATGGAAGGAACTAAGAAAGCTGTTCGTTTTCCCTTTCTCTGAAGAAGAACACTAGGGATACAGCCCGCCTGTCCTAACTGGCGGTCTAAGGAGATACGTTACTTGCTCTTTCTAAAAGAGCCTCTGCCTGGGACAGATGAGTGGAGCCAGGGGCCAATCTGTGTCCCGGCCTGAAGTGGTGAGAGAACAGTACGCCGGGGGCAGCCATGCCCGGATCTGGATGGTGGGGGAGAACGACCGCCTCCTGCTGCAGTTTCGGGGGGTGGGGAGAAGTCCCCCCAACAAGAGGTGCCACGAGAAACAACAGTGAGACAGGGACAGTCAAGGCTCCAGGGAGTCACCTCTCTCTATGAGGACCCTTATTATAGAGGGACTTTTCACTCTTCAGTCTTGACTTAATCTGCAGCAAAAGGAATTCCCTTCACTCCCAATTCGAGTCTGGAATTTCAGAAAGGCTGTGGTTTGGAAAACAAGGAAACAAAAAAAGGCTCTCTGGGGCCCAGGAAGTGGCATGACCCTGAGGATAAGTACTCTGCAGGCAGAGGAAGATGGAGGGCTTCCTGGAGGAGGAGAGAAAAGCAGAAAGCTGGGGTGTGCCTTTCCCAGGAGGCATGGCTCTTGGGGGATATTTACAGACACTGGGGGGAGGAATGGCGAGAAACTAGAAGGCAGGGAGACCAGCCAGCACAGAAAACGTCCTGTTGTAAAAATAGCAGATGAGGGGCAAAGATAAGTTTTCTGAGGAAGCCCCAGGTTTATCTGAGAGCAATGGTCCTTCCAAGACTAGCAGCTCCTGCTGCTGCTTTTAGCTCATTTTATTTAAGCCCTCGAGTCAAAGTCAACTCAAAACGAAATGCCCACACTGAGTTTCCTTTTGGTAAAGTGTTCAGAATTTTAACTACCAAGAACAACTATTCCCAGGATGCACTGGGCCCGGGATGGAGGTGGGGGGTGGGCAGCTTCTTGCTCTTTTAGGAAGGACAGGCCATCTGCCCTCAATGCTGACCCACGCCCGACCTGGCAACTGCAGGGTCAGCAGGACACTCACAACAAACACCCACTGTCATAGCTCAGCGTGTCCTGTGAGCAGGGATAACAGTAGCTGAGTTGCGTGGCCCCTCGGGTGACCCCACCCTGTCGTCTCTGTGGTACAGACTTTCTCAGTAGCTGCTGCTGTTAGGTCTCCACCTGACATTAGTCAATGCAAAGGAAAGTGCATTCCGCAAAGCAGTCCTGTCACACACAGACTCCAGGGCCAGGAATGAGTGTGATGACTTCACGTACCATGGCCAGCTGTCTCCCGATGTTCCCCACGGTCACACCCCCTGAGAAGAATATGCAGGGCAGCCAGGAGCGGATGTAGAGGAAGTCTGGAGATGTGTACCTGTAGGGAGAGAGGAAGTGTGATGGCCGGGATGACCCCTGCGGGAGCCCTGCTTTGAAACACATGAGGTTTGCTGACCAGGAACCATCAAGGAGTGGTGACATCGGAATGTGATGTCCTTGTTGCTGTTTGGCTTCCCTTTAACACCAGTGGTCCCCAACCTTTTTGGTACCAGGGACCAGTTTCATGGAAAACAGTTTTTTCACCAACCAGGGGGCTGGGAGACAAGAGGCACAATGCAGACCGAGTAGTGCAACGAAGCTTCGCTCGCTTGCAGGCCATTCCCCTCCTGCGGGGCAGCCCGGTCCTAACAGGGAACAGACTGGTACCGGTCTGCAGCCCAGGGGTCAGGGACCCCCACTTTCCATGACACTGTGGATGGTGTGTCTTCAACATGCCAATCAGCAATAGGCAACGTTTCTGAGAATCCCACGCCCAAGTCTATGGTGTGTCCATGTAAACTGAACGCAGCCCCCTTAGCTAAGTGCGTGGTTTTAATCGGTGGCAGCGGCCATGGGCGAGCTGTCGCACGGCCCGTGACTTACTGGTAGACGCCGTTGTACACCAGCAGCTGCGTGATCAGTGTGGCAAGGAAGGCGATGGTGATCCCCAGCCCGAGGCCACTTCTCGAACGATCAAATGTCCACCACAGGCCCAGGGACAGGGCCGCTAACGTCAGGGAGAGCTGGACATTATTGGCAAAGTCCAATTTCTGATGAGGCGGAAGTCAAGGAAAAGTAGTGATTTTTTTAAAAGGTGAAAACACAGAGAACCTCAGAACCTACACAGCTTTTCCTCTTGTGCACATTAACCTCCACCCAGGAGAGCGGCCAGTGAGCAGCAGGGATGGTCAGATACAAGGGCCCCGCAATCCAGAAGCTTCTCTGGGGTCCTGGGTAAAAACTGGACTCAATAAGCCAAGTTCTGAGAGCTGTGTATAAAATTTGGTTGGCAGGTCCACCATAGAACCACCTGTTGTTGCTGTAAGTCATCTGCATCCTGCTCTTGGGGGCCCTCTCCTCAGGGGGTGCTGGATGCCACCCCCAAGTCCATGTGGGCACCAGCTGGCTTCCACCACAGCGCAGCTTGTTGGCTTGGGGACTGGGACTGAATGGAGGCAAGATGGGTTGCTGTGTCCTTTCACGACCTCATCTTTAAGGCCAGGGCAGAGCAGGTGCAAGAACTGGCAACTCTGAGATTATCTTTCTCCAGTGTTTGAAAATATGATCTGCTCGTGCACAGGAGCCGTCGGGTTGGTCTGCTTAGACCCAGGACACACGGACCTTCTTCCTAATAATGCACTTCTGTTCCGTGCAATGCATCCCACCTGGGGTCGCTGGAGCTCAGGGGCCTGGTGCTAAAGACCCTAACTTCAGACCAGCACAGGGACCGGCGGGGTCATGGCCAGCCTCCCGGGAGAATCCCGAGAAAGAACGGCCCTGGCACCGCTCATCACTGGGCCTCAGGAACCAGGTCCTCACGATGCAAGGCCGTCAGGTCAAAACGGGAATCTATACAACGGGCTCCGAGAAAGCAAGATACTGCCTGACAGAGGAGGGAAAACAGCCCCCTCGGCCTCGGGCAGCATGTCCCTGTCTCTGGAGATAAACTGAAGGGCTGGGGACCATCCCGTCCGAAGCTCCTGCTATGAAGAAACTAAGTGACGGGCTCAGAGGTAAATGGAAGAGCAACGTCCTGCCCACCTGCCAGGCAGCACACGCTCGTTCAAAGTAACACCATGCTTCCACCCGTGACCCAGGACCGTACTCTGCGTGCCCACAGAAGGATACAGCGCTGGCGTGGTTGATGCCCACGAACACGGCCACGCAGCGCATCACGCTGGCCCACTCCCGCTTAAACTTGTGGGGCTCGCCCAGGTGGCTGTCGATGCAGGGGTACAGAAGGCCGACCACAGCTGCCAGGGAAGAGGAGAGAGAACAGAGTCAGCACGCTCTGGGCAAGGTGATGACGGACAGCAGCCGGGCACGGGACAGCACGCTTTCTGCGTGGCACTTCACGTGCGACGCGAACCAGCCCGTCTTAGATGTGCCTGCTTTAACACAACACTGAAATTCAGATTCATTTTGTATTCCCGATCTCCTGGAGTACAAACACACACACGAAAGTCAGTTTTGAGGAGTTGAAAGCAAACCCACTGTTCTTCAGCTTAGCCACAGGGGCCGGAGTGCAGACCACCGAACAGCCTGCAGAAGCAGCTTTCTCTCCACATCCCCCACGGGACTTTCATCCTGCCACAGACAGGGGCACTCCCACCAGTATGAGAGACATGAGTCCCATCGCCGGTTCTGACGTCCTCCCAGCCGGCACATTGGTGCCGTTTGCACGCCGATGTCTGGGGTCATACGCATGCCCATGGGGCAGCACCACACTTGCTGGGGAGGGTGGAGAGTACTAACTCTAGGAGACCCCGAGCACCGCCAATAGCCAAGCACTCTCCTGTCCCCGGGCCCCAGGCCCCGCACTGCGGAAGTGCGTGGTCCAGGCAGAGAACCGGGTCTCCATTCCCAGCTTGCTGATGGGCCCACTCCCGTGTCAAATGCAGGATATGTCACGTAACAAAGAGACAGAGGAGGGGGAGCTGGCTGGGGTCTGACAGCGAGGAAGCCTTCACAGACACAGCTGCACAGCATGAGAACAGGAGAGAATTTAGATGGGGGAAGGCGTGGCATCATCCCAGGAGAGCAGCCCAGGGAAGGTGTGAGGGGCCTGGTGAGCAGTAGGGATGCAGCCCTCGGACCCCACAGAGGGACGCGAGAGCCAGGCAGAGGCCCTGCTGTGTGTCCCCGGGTAGCGTCCCAGGGAAGACAGGAAACTATGTTAGGTTCTGGAACAGAGAGCCAAGAAACATAGTTCAAGCCAAACGCTCAAATGAAAGACTTTCAGTTTCAATTTCGTGCTCAATTTTAACAAGTTTTGCTTGGGAGCTTTGAAGAATAGAACCGGAAACTGCCACTTACTGCACTGCAACTGAACCTCACCGTCCAAAGTCAAAGGCTAAGGGAGGGGCAATGTACTGCGGGATGTTTTCTGCATGCCCTTGGCTGAGACCAAAAAAAGGTATGAGGAACCGTTTCAAGTATTCCTGGAATTTCCTGACAAAGAAAGCCCAAACTAATAAACCTTTTAAAATCAAGTTTTTGATTCAAAGAATGAAACTATCGCACCAGGTGTGTGTGGATAGTAGAATTCGCATCTACTGAGATAGAAATCTCTATTGAGATTTAATTCTCAAACAGAATTTCTACCAGCCCAGTTGTATATTTAAAGGATCTAAAAACGAAGCAGGACCCTTACCTTTGAGGACCAAGATGAAAACAGCCAACCCTTGCTCAGAAACTACCTTGTCCCTCACCCCCCACCCCAGGTCCACTCCAAGCCTCCTGCCTTCCCACTGTCCTCAGGAAGTGTGTGACCCATCCCTGCAAGGCAAGGGACACCCCAGACTGCAGGGAGACAGCGTGCAGCTAAGGACACCAGTCTGGCCTGGCTGCTGACCCTGCAGCTGGGTGTCCACCACTGTACGGTGGACCGGAGCCAAGCACCCCATAAAGAGGCATCAAAGTGAGTGGTGCAGTGGGAGGGGGCCGGAGGGACCAGCCAGAGCATGCAGCAGGGCCAGCCTGCTCCTCCATGTTTCCACATGGTGGAATTGAGGCCATGGGAAACAGCTGCCAGCCATGCCCTGTGACTTCTCAGAAGTACTATGTGGCTTGGATAGGGGGCGACTCAGCCTCCCCATCAAAACAGCTAGTAGAAATCAGAGGCTGCTGCCCATCGACAGTTTACACTGAGCCTGTGTTGTTTCTGGCACAGGTGCCCGGCCAGGTACCCACCCTCTGGACGCAGGGTCACCCTTCCTAGGTCTAGGGCAGGGCCGGGACCTCCCCCTACTGTCCCCAGGAGGAGGCGCGGAGGCCTCTCTCAGGCTCCGCCTCCGCCCCCACCCACGTGACGGTTTGTTTTCAGTCCCCCAGACCGTAGCGTGGTGGCCACAGCAGCCAATGGCAGCCTGGGGCCTCCGCTCACCAGTTCTCCGGTGACCAATCACAGCAACGAACCGAGTGTCAGCCCGCGTCCCAAACCGCGAGAACCGCGACCGGGACCCGGCTGCCAGGCCCCAGTTCCCCGGGCGGTGCACGCTCCAGACCTCGTCTCCATCACCACCCTGCAGCTGGTGCCCGGGGTGCAGGCCCCCACCCTCCCCCGAACGCCAGCCCTGGAGAGGCTCACTTGTCCCCCTGCATGGCTCCCTTTTCAAGCCCGCGTTTCCCAGAGTCTGCAAAAACGTTGTGCACCAAACACTTTTTCTTTTCTTCGAATGTTTGAAACTCCTACTCACCAGCCGCGGTCCCACAGCAGGGAGGCACCCACCAGGCCGACGAGAAGACGGTGGCGATCACCTCATCGGGGAACAGGGTCACATTCCTCTGCACCTGCAGCAGGTTGAGCACCAGGGCAAGGACCACCCCAACCGAGAAGAGCACCAGGCCCCTCTGCAGCAGGTGGGGATGCCAGAGGGCGGCCTGTCCCCCCGCGCCAGGGCTCCCAGGCGCACGAACCGGCTCTGGGTCCCGGGCCCTGCCGGCTGGCCGCAGCGCGGAGCCGGATACGGAGGAAGTGACCATGCCCCCGACTTTGGCAGCCAGCGTGCCGGCGCGGGCTGTCGAGTAACTTCGGTGCCTGGCGCCGCGAGCACAGGGACAACTCCAGAAGTGGTCGTCCAGCCTGGGCATCAGTCACCGGGAGTGTGACGGGCTGTCCTGGAGGGAGAGGATCGGGAAGGTGGAGTCGCGACCAAGTTCATTTCCAAGGAGCAGGGCAGGGGCGGCGAGGCCCGCTGGGGAGGCTGTGCTCTCAATTCCCGCCGTCACGTCCAGGAAAACTGTCCCTCCCGGGGCGCGGGGCGCACGACAGAGGGTGGGGGCGCCGGCGCGGGCTGCACAGCCGGCTCCGTTCCCGCCCGAACGCATCCCGTGCACGCCCCGTCCGGCCCCAAAGTTTCCCAGACCCCGAGCTTTCGCAGACCGCCCAGCACAGGGTACTTGTGTCCCCGCAGGATGAGGGAACCCGTGGCCCGGCCCACGGGGGTCAAGGGTGCAGCCCCTGCCCCGGCTGGGTCGGGGTCGCAGACCCAGAGGGAGGCCGGCGGTCCCACTCACACGACCCCGCCGCGCCCCGCCTACCTGGCAGAGGAGCGCCCGCCAGCGGGCTCGCGGACCGAGGAGGTGTCGGAGGAGGCGACACGGAAGGGTCCCAGTCCGGACCACCAGGAGTTGGGCCCGCGGCGCCCAGCGCGCAGCGCGGGGCTTATAAGGAAAGCAGAGGAGCCCTGGCTCACGTGACTCGAGAGTGGCCCACCGCCCCGCTCGCGTGCCTGGGGGCGTGGCCTCAGCGCGCCCCGCCCCGCCCGCGCGCCCGAGCGCTCGCGGTCTGGTGAGGGGGCCGCGGCCAATCGGAGGCGGGCGGCCCATATGACGTAGGCACACGCCACCCCCGGCCAGCTGGCTCGGGAGCGCGGACGGACGCGAGCGGGCGCGCGGGTTGGGGGGCGCGCGGGGCTGGGGAGGCAAAGACTGACGGGGCGCGGGGCACCTAGAGGCTGGCGGAGCGCGAGCGCCGGGAGCCTCCCTAACCCGGCCCCAGTGCAGCCACATCCGTCGCCCGAGGTGGGAGGCGGTGCCACGCGGATTCCAGGGCGGGCGGGAACTTCTTGGAGAAACGCGCCGCCGCGGTTCTCCAGGGTTCAGCCCCTGGAATCTAGAGCGTGACCGTGACCCATACTTGGCCCATGGATAAGCTTTCTTTCCGACCCTGTGCCCTCCACTCTGTCGTTAATAAGTGGTCAATGCACCTGCTGGGTCAGCTAATGGTGCTTCGACCTGGATTCTTCGTCACGCCCTGCGGCTCCTGATGGCCACCACACCTGCTCCTGGAAAGAGAGTGTGTGCAGAGATGCAGGTGGTGCTTTCCGTTCGCAGGCGGCCAGAGTGGCTGACCAGAGTGGGTCGGAAGCCTTTGGCGATGTCAGGTCCTTTATGAAAATGTAGATGAGAAGCATGCCACTCACACAGCTATTTCTTCCGTTCCACTTGCCTGGTCTCATGTTTGGAGCACACACCAAGGACACCACTTAGGGAAGAGTGAAACGCTGCTTGGTCTTGTTGGTGGGCCATGTCTTCAAACCTTGTTTGCTGCATGGGTCACACCATCCATGTAGGGGGGCAGGCCCATGCCAGTCTGGAACCCATCTCTTGTTCGGCAAGATCATGTTATTTAAGATGTTTTGGTCTCGCCCTGGCTGGTGTGGCTCAGAGGATTGAGCCCTGGCCTGTGAACCAAAGGGTCACCGGTTTGATTCCCAGTCAGGGCACAGGCCTGGGTTGCGCGGGGGGGTGTCAGGTCCCCATCAGGAGGCATACAGGAGGCAACCACACATTGATGTTTCTCTCCCCCTCTTTCTCCCTTCCCCTCTAAAAATAAATAAATAGAATCTTTTTTTAAAGCGTTTTGGCCTTATGTGCTGTACCTGGATAAGCAGAGGTAGGGGGTTGCCTCAGCCCAGACAGCCAGTAGCTCAGGCAGTGTGAAACATGGTGTGTGTGGCATCGAAAGCACCCGGGTCTGTGGCTAAGGGTGAAAAAAAACAAACAACCAAAAAAAACAAGCCCTGGCCAGGTGACTCAGTTGGTTGCAGCATCGTCCCATAGACCGGAAGGTCACGGGTTGGATTCCAGAGCAAGGCACAAACCCAGGTTGCAGGTTCAATCCCTGATCAGGGTGTGTATGAGAGACAACCAATGGATGTTTCTCCCTCATGTCCATGTTTCTCTTTCTGTCTCCCCCGCCCCTCTTCTTTTCTCTCTAAAATCAATAAATATAATCTCAGGTGAGGATTGAAATTTAAAAAATCAACCAAATGTCTTCCTGTTATATCGGGGTTTTTTTTTCAAAGTTTGTTTGTTTGGGGCACGAGATTCATCTGTAATGATAAAACAGGACCCTTCAAGGGAAAGGGAAGCTTACCTGGCTGTGTCCGCACTCCTGACTGTAAGGCAGCAGAGGAAACTTGAAGAGTGCTGTGTAAAGGTACTTGCCAACCAGTACCTTGTCACTGTCCCCCAGGGTCAGTCCCGGATTCTCTCTCCTGCCACCTCCAACTCCCAGGCGGAACACCATCGGTTGGTTGGTACAGTGTGTGTGTCTCTGACGCGCAGATCACGAAGCAAAGCCGGCGTGAAGCTGGACTGATCTTTCCTACTTCTGTGTTGTCGCTGTGCTCAGTAACTGAAAATTGCTCCCGAAGCCTTGTGTGCGAGCAAGGCACAGTGCTTCTAATAGTGAGACTGTTTTCACACCTGGAGCACAGGGCAGACTGTGGGAGTGGCTGGGATGGAGAGCTTCTACCCGCACCTGTCCCCGGGGGCTCGGGCAGAATCAGGCTTCTCTCTCTTGGTTCCTCTCTAAGTCCTAGTCACCATGACGCCCTCTGTTCCCAAAGGTTCCAAGAGGTTTTGACTTAAGAAACATTGCAATCTAGATCTTGGTCACTATCTCTGCTCCACTTTGCATAAGTGCCTGAAGGTGTATAGATAAATCCTTGCCTGTCTGTCTGTCTATCTACTGTTACCGTAACAGAGGAACTTTGTAACAGCTGCCCACCTGTCAACTGATGGGAAACTAGTTGGATGAACAATGGCAGGTCCATACAAAGGAACGCCTTGTAGCTGAGAGTCATTTGTTTTTCAACCCCCCAGAAGCCTCTGCTGGGACTCCACCCGCCCCCGCCCCTCAAGTTGAGAAGCACTGATACAAGTCAAGCTGTGAACCTCACGGAGAGGTGTGCACACCACAGCCGTGACCCTGAGATGAAGGCAGATAGTGGATCCAATTAGGAGACACCAGCAAACAAAGGAAGTTTCTCTTTAGCCCGGACAGGTTGATTTAGGCACCTGAGGCCCAATGGGCAGAGGTGGGAGCTCCCTGCTCAGCCCCAGAGCTGCTGTGTCCAGGGGCTCTCGGCCACCCAGAGACCTGAGCCCCTGTCTTCCATCATCTAAGGTGGAGCTCCTGTCTTTTCTCTCTTGCTACCCCGCCTAGCCACGCAGACCAGCCCCATACCTCCTTCACTCGTAACACTCCTTTGCCCAGGTGTGTACCTGGGAAGACCTTGACGGGATCTGAGTTACCTGGCTCCCCGGTTGGAAGGTTCTATCGGCTCCATTAGCTAGTTGGTGCGTTAGGGTCTGGGCATGTTTTCCAGCCTTGCCTCTCTGACTCTCATCCCTGTGGCACCTGCTCAGGACTTGGCGAGCCAGGGGGAGGCCCTGTGGACCCATGGGAACTGGGAGGGGCACCTGTGGGCTGTCAGCTGGCCTCAGTCTTAGAGTCACTGGGCTGCCTGCCCCCATCCCCCAACCCCAGGCCTGTGGTTTTACCCTGTGCAGTCCGTTCCCGTGAATGAAGTCGGTCTGGGGGGATGCTGATGGAGGAACTTGAATGTACTGTTTTGGAAATTGCAGCCTCCGGATCAGAAAGCACGTTCGAATCCTCTGAGGCTTTGACCTCTACTTCCTGGGGCACTGTTGTGGGTGTAATTTCTCTCCCCAGTGCGGGCTCCCTGCTGAGTCACACTGGGGTCTGTTCTCCCAGCCCCACCGGTTACTCTGGGTTCAGCATTTGGTGGATGTATTCACGAGGGTACCATTTAGTTCTTTTAATCTACACTTTTATTATTATTATTATTATTATGACTTTAAAGATTTTATTTTTTAATATTTATTTTTAGACAGAAGGGAAGGGAGGGAGAAAGCGAGGGAGAGAAACATCAATGTGTGGTTGCTTCTCACGTGGCCCCCACTGGAGACCTGCCCTGCAACGCAAGCATGTGCCTTGACTGGGAACCAAACCAGGGACCCTTTGGTTTACAGCCCGCGCTCAATCCACCGAGCTACACCAGCCAGGGCCTATTATTATTGACCTTAGAGAGAGAGAAGGGGGTAGAGAGAGAGAGGGAGAAAGAGAAGCATCAATCAGTTGCCTCCCATACACACTCCAACTGAGGAGCGAATCACACCTGCAACCCAGGTACGTGCCCTGACCAGGAATCAAACCCCAAAACTTTTGAGATGACACTCCAACCTACTGGGCCACCCAGCCAGGGCCCATTCGGTTCTTAAGGGCACCACTTTATACTCATCAGGGTGGATGCACGTTTACACAATGGCCTCACGGAATGCTCACCGTTGGTTACAAACTGACAGGACGCCATACTTTCTCCCAGATCACTAACCAAAGCAACACATACCTGTAGCTCCTCTGGGCAAAGGAGAATCCTGGGTTCTGGGGGAGTGGGGGGGGGCGGAATCCTAGGGACTTCGAGACCTGCTGTCGTGAGGAATCGACAGCCCTTGGTCTGTGTCCCCGCTACTCTTTTCTGAAAACATTAATAATCATTTAGTCAAAGTATCTGTAGAAATAGGGTAGATGACTGAGTATATTGTTTTTAGTTAAAACATCGCTTGCTGGTTGTAAAGCATTCAGGAAATGGGGAAATTGTATTTTAGAAAGTCCATAAGCCCTTGGCAGGGTCACTAAACTGGTTAGATTGTCGTCCCGATACACCAAGGTTGCAGGTTCGATACCCGGTCAGGGCACATGCAAGAATCAACCAAGGAATGCATGAATGAGTAGAACAACAAGTTGATGTTTCTCTCCCTTTCCCTCCCTCTCTACAAATCAATCAATAAAAAAAATTCAAACATCCATAACCCCACCATCTAGAGATACTCTCTGTAACATTTGGGGTGTGTATTCCCAGCTCGTTTTCCTCAGCATAAGGGTGGCTGTGGTTTAAGAAACACAAGTGGGGTCACGCTTCACATGCAGGGGGATTGGATCTCGCCCCTTCTCTGAGGTCAATCCGTGTGGATGATTCATCACTTTGTAACAGTTTTATGGAGCTACAATGCACAAATCTTGCAAGTCACCCACAGAAAGTGTAGCACTCAGAGTTGCGCTGCCACCACCCCAGTCAATTTCAGAACATTTTCATGAACTCGCCCAAAAAAACTCCCTAGGCCTCTGCTGTCATCCCCCACCCCCCAGCTGCCCCCAGCAGCCCCTGCCTGGACCAGCCATCAGGCCCCAGTACTGAGTCCACCTGTTCTGCTCTGGAATTTCATAGGAGTCGGACCCTATAATACGTGGGCTTTGTGTCTATCTCCTTTCATTTAGCATCGTGTTTCAAAGTTCATCCACGTCGCAGCTGGTGTCAGCGTTCTCTGCCTTTTATGGATGAATAGTGTCTCAGGACGAGGAAA